TATGTGTGTGTGTGTGTGTGTTATATAACAATATGTCTACTGTGTTTATATTATAGAATGGCTATTTAGCTCATTAGATTAATGAAATTCTAAAATAATCTTACTCTATGCCAACTGTGGATCCTCATTTCTGTCTCAAGGCTAGATTTAATAATTAGGTCAGCAGTCTTCATAGTGATTCTAAGATACCTGGGGGTACCCAAAACCATGTCTGAGTGTCCATGAGGGCCTCCCTTTTCAGATTTCCATGAAGCTGAATTTTCTTTATCTACTTCAAGCCAAGCAACAAACTTTAATAGACTGGATGCAGAAGGATTTATAAGACTTCAGCTATCTTCTATGAAACTAGACAATGAAGAGATTTGTAAAAATGTAAAATAATGATTTTCCACCTAAATATGCTCCTATTTAAAAAAATATAGTTATCATTTAATAAAAAATGTTATTTATGTTAACATGTAATTGTTTATCATTGCCGTTTCTAAATTTATTAGTAAAGAATCTTAAATATTTCTCAGTCCCAATTTTAACACAAAAAATATCCACAGAACCACAGAATCCTTCTTTGGGATCCTCCATGTTTTCCAATTTGTTACAAGATCTCCTGAGACCAAAATGTTTGTGAACTGTTGCATTAAAGAATCATTTATTAGGTGCAAGGTCTGATCCTCTCTCTAGTGCCAAAAAGGAGTGAAGTAATAGAGAGGACCTAGATTTTTGAGGCTAGTATATATGGTTCTTGAAGTAGGGGCAGCCTCTGTTTATACAAACTTGAGCAAATCAGTCAACTTCTGAATCACAATCTCTGATTTGTCCACTCTCAGAAATGAAAACCCCTCAGTAGATTATCTTGAGAATAAAGATAAACATGTAAAAGCACTCAGCATAGTGTAGGGATAAAACACACATAATTCTGTGTGTTTGGTGCACAAAATGATTAAATTTTATTGTCCATTTTACATTGTAATGAATTTTTAAATCTTTTCTTACACAGATTTTAAGAGCAGAGAGAGACACCATATTGGTGTATGGTAAAAGTTAATAACTAACATTCTTGGGGGAAATAGCCTTGCTTATTAACGTTTGCTGATTTCCATGCCAGTTGGGAAGAGATGGATTCAAATAAGCTCTTGTGAACAGGCAAGAGCCAGTTTCTGCATAAAATATTCTGGTGCCTTTATCAGAAATAGGGGGGATTTTAGGCAGAATTTAGGAGTCTGGTGGAATGAGGGCAACATATAGGCTAATCTAATATTTTGCCTAGAGTCGTTTCCTTCATATCCAGAGTTCTCAATTCTCTTTTTGATTGTATTGAATGCTGGGGGTCACTGAGGTTACCACAAAGATTTGTGTATGCGAATTATCTGCCATAGACACTCCTAAGTCCACTAGCAGAGCAACTACCCAAGGAGACATATTTCCGAAGAACAGGCTGGTTAAAGTGAAAGAGAATCTACAAGTGTAGCTTAGGTGTCACCTGAGTCCAGGTATAATGCCTGACATGGTGTTTCAGGGCAGTGGTTCTCAGACGTGGCTCACATCACCTGGGAACATGTTAAAGATGAAAGTCAGTCCCCACCCAGTCCTATAGAGCTATAGACCCTGAGTGTCAGATCCAACCATGTATTTTAGCAAGTCCTTCAGTGATTCCATATGTGCTTTAACACATGTGTTTGAGATTCCTGGTGAAGGGGAAGTTTGGTGGACATAGGCAGTGGGATGACTAGTGTTTTGGAGCATGGTGTTTCCTGGATAACCTGGATGTCCAGGGTGAGGTTGGGGCAAAGACAAACTGCCACAGGATCTGGTGGGTGCTGTTAGTTACCCAGCTGGAGCCCCTTCACTGGGCTGGTGCTCTGGTCTTGGCTGCTGCTAATGGCTCATTGATGAACCCTTCTCTGGACAAATGCCAAGGACTGGCTGACAGTAGTTCCAAAACCTCCTCTTTGCCTCAAAATGAGATTAACTCTGTGATGCAATTCATATTCCCCGTGGATTAGACTAAAGCCAGTCTCCAGCTGAGACATTCTAGCTCAGCTTTTCACGTGTCTTATCCTGCTTCCGTCTTCACTTTATCGCTTAGAAACAGTCCCTACAAAAAAATCAATTCTAGATGTGGTTACATACACAATGAAAGATGACTCAGTCATTAAATAAAAAAAAAAAAACAAAACATGAAATGCTGCCACTGCACCAATATGTATGGGATTGGAGGGGATTATGTTAAGTGAAATAAGTTAACTACTGTATGATTTCACCGATATGTGGTACATAAAGAAACAAAACAAAGGAATGAACCAAATAAAGCAAAACAAAAACCCAAACTTTTAAACTCTAAGAACAAAATAGTGGTTACCAGAAGGGAAGGGGGCAGAGAGGTGGGTAAATCAGTTAAAAGGGATTAATCGTATAGTGATAGATGGACACTAGAATTGTAGCGGTGAACATTCGGTAGGATGTACACATGTTAACTTCAGAGGCTGTACACTTGAAACCTATATGTAATACAACAGTATTACCTCAATAAAAAAAAGTTTAATTCTATAAGAATCTTGGTCATTGACTCTGCTCCCAGACACTGGCTTTCAAAGTCAGGCAATTCTGGGTTTGTATTTGAATTCTCCTGACCATTAACTATGTTAATTTAGGTGAATTAGGGAATCCCTCTATGCCTCTGTTTCTGTATGTGCTCAGTGGAGCTAATGATGCTGCTTGGATGGTTTGCTGTGGGAATTGGAGGGACACTGTAGATACTCCCTCAGCACAGTGTCTAGAGGGTAGTGGGAAATGCCCAGAGTTGCCTTTGAATTTTCCCTGACTTGGGCAAATTAAAGTTTTCATGTTGTCTGCTTTGTGGGTACTCCATATGTGTCTAACACCAGGATACCTCATCAATAACTAAAAGCCAGAAGTATTTTTCAAGTTAGGAGTATCTTTTTAAGTGGTAAAATACTTGGCAAATTGTGGAATGAAAGCACAAAGCATGAAGAGCACTAATTATACAACTAAGGATAGAAGTACCCTGGAAGAGACATGTTTGGGAGTTCAGAGACTAGAAGAGATGGGTAAAACGTGGGACTTTCCTGGGGCTTTCCCATCAAGCAGTAGTGCTGTTAAAGTGTAGACTTTGAAAACTTCCAACCTGGTCTTCACAAGTCTGGGGAGCCCAGCACACTGGAAGACAGGAAAATGTGAGAGTGTTGGAGAAACTTCTTTTCCACCGCCAGTCTTCATTCAGAGTTCCTTCTGTCTCTGGAGTCTGGACTCAATTGTCACCTCCTCCTAGAAGTTTTCTTCAAACGGTCTCCCCAATCTCACAACCCAGTGTTGTTTTTTTTTTCCACCATCAGGCTTTAGCTAGTGTAGCAATCTGTATATTTTTGATATATATTTATTCACATATATATTATATATGAATATATTTTTATATGTATATATACATATATTTATATATACATACATATATATATATGTATATATATATATACATATATATATATATATATAAAATCTCCTGTCAGTCTCTCTTCTTAGAACAACATTAGGGACTCAGTTTGTCCTAGCCACTGCACATAGCAGGTCCTTACTTGGTCTTGAAACTGTGGAGATTTTCATACATTGCTGGGGAGAAGTAAATGGAAATCTCTGGCTACCTCTTATAAAGCTGACACATGCCTTCCTATGGCCTAATTTCACTTGTCGGTATTTATCCACAGAAATGCAAAAATGTCAACCAAGAAGAGGCACTTATTAGAATGTTCACACCAGTGCTTTCTGCAATAACCACAGAACCAGAAGGCATCAAAATATCCATGAAAATAAATGAGAAAACCGTTGTATACGGACATAGTATACAAAAAAAAAAACCCTATACAAAACACTATACAAAATAATACAAAAAATACAAAAAAATACTATACAAAAAGAACCTTCAACTAGAGGCAAAAACGAGGCAACTCACTAACATGATGTTGAGTGAAAAGAAACCAGACACACAGGTTACATTCTCCAGGATCACATTTACATAAAATATAAAAGTAGACCAAACCAGTCTTCTTGCTAAAAAATCTCAAGTGGACGCCCTGGGTGGGTGGTTGGAGTTGGGGGCTGGAAAGAACTAAAGAGGCGGAACATCAAGGGTGCTGGTCGCGGGCTGTTCCCTGTTCCAGCTGCTGGTGACAGAGGTGTGTGCAGTTTGAGAACATTCGTCCAGCTGTGCCCCGTGCACTTTTTTAGTGTACTTTACTTTAAATGGCAATAAAATTTATATTAAAACAACTGCATGGGATTTTGCTCCAGCGCAAATGACTCTTTTGGGAGCTCTCAGTAGCATTTACCTGGAGAAAAGTACCGAGGACTTGGGAGTCCTGGAGACAGAGGCTCGGGCGTACCGGCCCTCCCGGCCGGGTTTGGTCCCGCTCGGGGCGCCCGGGAGGGTCGCGTCTGGGCCGCGCGGGCCCAGCGCTGGGGGGTAGGGGCGCGGAGGGGGCGGGGCTCCGGGAGCCGCGGGCCGGAAGCGCCCGGCTGCCCGGCGCACTCTGAGGTCGTCGAGCGTGAGACGCTCCTCAGCGCCCGCGGGCGCGTCCCGGCCGTCGCAGGGCGCCCTCGCCTCGCCCGCCTGTGTCCGCGCCCGCGAGTTCACGGCGCTCCCCTCAGCGGGGTCGCGGCCGCCAGGTCCGCCCGCGCCGGGCCCGGGACGGGGTCTGGGGAGGCTTCGCACGTCGCGCGGGCGTTCGGGGCTCGGGCTGGCGCCCGGGTTCGCCGCCGCCGCCGGAGGCTCGGGCTACCGCCGCGGGAGGGCGGGGGAGAGCGCCTGTCCCCAAGTGACCCCGTGGCGAGGAAGGGCGGGCCGCCGGCGGCGGGCCCGGGGGAGGCGCGGAGGGGGGCAGGGAGCCGGGGAGGATGCGCCCGGCGAGACAGCGCGAGCCGGCGCCTGTGGGGGAAGAGGGTGGAAGAGGCCCCACGAGCCAGACCTGATCAGGGAAGAAGAGGGGGGCTTCCCTGAGAGCCCCGAGCCTGGGACCGGTAGCGAGTGGGGATCTGTAGAGCGTGGGGCCCGGAGTGTTGAGGAGAGGGAGCGCTCCTTTCCTCTGCCAACCCAGAATTTGGGGAGCTGAGGGAATGGGGAGCAGCCACCAGTTCAGGACCTCGGGCGGGAGAAAGAGGGTGCCTGGTGAGCGCGAGAACTCAGACCCCAGGGGGTGGGTGTGGAGCAGAGGAGGCTGTGCTGGCACAGGCCATTTATTTGGTGTTTGTGACAGGCCTGACCTCACCTAACTGGCCTGCAACTCCCACGCCCCATCTCCCCTTCACCTTCAACCCCCTCAACCCTGTACCCCGTTTTCCAAGTCACGAGGCGTTTGAACTAATGAGCTGGAGCTGGAAGGGGTTGGGGGGCCTGTGACCAAGGTGAGGTGCGCCTTGTAGGCTCAGCAGAGGAAGGGTTCCTGGCTCCAGTCTCATCCAGTGTCAGCCCTGGGCCACGGGTGGATAAATGGGGCGTTGCCTGAGGGAGTGACTGAAACAGCAGGACATCCATGTTTCTTGTTGGAAACATCAAAGTTTTCCTTCCCCACGCTGTCCCTAGCCCTCCATCCCTGTTACACCTTCTCCTGGGGTCTGTGTGAGGGAGAGTGCAAAGCCCTGATAGCCCCTCCTCTGGAAGTCAGTGACTAAGGTAGCATCAGATGGCAGCTTCATATCGTAGCCATCATAGAGAATCCTATTTTGAGTGATTTTAATTTTCTTCTGGGCGACTAGTGATAATTCCCGAAAATACCAAGGACTGAAAAGTGGATGGTGACTGCAGAAGCTGGAGGGCTAAGGATAAACCAGCTCACAGGTGTTTTGGTTTTTTTTTTCCTCCCAGGGGCTTATCTTAGATAGTTTTCAGAGACTAGTACACTGTAAGCAGTTGCTTATAGGGAACAGGTTGCTATAACCTATTTGCTGTTGAAAAAAAGATTTTACCAATATTTTTCTCCCGTTTTTAACCATTTCCTTTACTCTGTGCTATTTTTACTTGCTCAAAGAAAGTAATAATCTGCCTGTATTATATACTCAGATTTCCCCCCTTAATTACAAATTTCCAAAAAAAAAAAAAAAAGACAAAATGTGAAGTATTCTAGCACTGTCTAGAAAATATTATGATAATGGTATAAAAAGTAGGGTGCTGGGCATGCTTTTGTGAGAACTTTAACCTTTCTCTGCAACTAATTTGCTAGTCAAGTGGCCCTATTTTTGGCCCATTTCTCCAGTGAAATGTGGCTGTTACCATAGGTGACCCCCCAAAGTCTGCTACTTTGCTACTTTAACTTTTTCATGGGGGCAGTTAAAAGATTTGATTCAAATTTCCATTCATTGTATGGTTTAATATTTAATTCCCTCCCTGCTGCAAGCTAAAGGGTAGGTGTGAAAATATACACATTTTCTCATCCTAAATCCCTTTTATCCTCTCATAATGCTCAAAGTGCAGTGTTGATGTCTGGCAGGCTTTGGGTTCAGTTTGTACCATTTGCAAACAGTGAGGATTACTATCACATGGAGGGAAGAATGGCTGCAGGATTTCTTGGACCTGAGAATCTCACACGTCTCTTTCCATTTCCACTTTCATTAGCACACAACTTTTAAAAGTTGGCTTTCACACAGCAACACTTTCACACATCCTTACTAAAATCCATGCTAATCTTTCCCATGGGATGTAATTCAATTGAATTGACATTCTAATAAAATACTGGCGAAGATACAATCACAGTTTGCCTGCAATGCATAATTAAAATAGCACTATGCAATTGCTTAAACCTCAGATAATGGTTTCATACATATTGTTGGTTATGAGATTTCAAGGATGTTAATAGAACATTGTAAAGCTACTTTTTTTTTTTTTTTAAGCAAAGTCTTAGATTGTCATTGCTGGGAATGCACTAAAGCCCAAGACATCTTTCAGATTAGTTTTGGGCTATTTCTTTAAGCATCCAAGCCTGCCTTTAAATCTGCATTTCCTGGGCATAGGTGACTCAGTAGGTCAGATAAACATTGACTTGGAGGTGTCTAAATCTGTGGCATTTGGGAAAATTTACCTTTTCTAAAAGACCAAGACAGGAAGACTTATCTTTGAGTAATGATAGTAATATTTTGCTGTTGTTTTTGTTCCAAGTGTTCTATTCTGTAAAGCAGCATTGGTTTAGCATTGACATTGACAATACAGCACAGAAATCATAGACTTTGGGTTCCTACATTTCATTTAAAGCTTCTAGTTGCTAATGGTTGATACTCCTTAGGTTATTACTTAACCTGTAGTCAAACAGAACATTTCCACTGATAGTTTTGTTTTATTGTCAGAAGTTCTGAAATTTTGATGAAGTTTGGAGAGAAAGGATGGGTCTTGGTGGATTCTTACATGTTTTACTGAAACGTGAGTAGATGTGCCTCACTTGTATTATGATGGCATTTTTAGCAGTGTCCTTAGCTAGGTGAACTTACTTGTGAGGTACAACATCATTGTGTAAATTTGTGATGTTAACAATCTCTGACTTCATGGATAGAAAATTACAGGAAATTGGTAAAAAGTTGTTACTGGAGCTGGGAGTGGCTTTGTTATTCATCGGGTCATTTAATCACTATTAATTGCTGTTGACTCACACATGAACTCTAATCTAGGTTTATCTACTAAATTTGAGACAGGTCCTGGGTACCAGACCAGGGAGGCAGGAGAGGATAGAACCAGGAAATGTATTCTCTTTAGAAATGGGAGGCTGTATTTGTCTTTGAATGTACCTGTGTACTTAGGTAGACTGTTTTGGGGTAGATGAAACAAGATGGCACATACCACGCAGGACCAGTGTTGACTGAAAATAATAATCAGCACTGTAATGAGAAAAGGTGAATAAGGGAACTTTATTTTCAGAGTCAAGGATGAGACCAGCTTGGGGAATCAGTGCCATGAAAGTGTTTTGGTGATCTGTGCCACAGCCCTCCCTCCCCCTGTCCTGCAGTAGACTATAATTTACATAATTGTGAATTACATAATTAATATGAATGTAACAATTTGTAGACAGGTATCTGGAAATCTAACATCTCTGTAGGAAAGTGATTGCATTGTTTATATTTAGGGGATGGTTCTCTCTGTCAGATACAATCTATGTATAAGAATTGCAAAAACTAAGTGATAAAATATTTATTATAAGGGATGTCCTTTTGTGGGCCTGCTGGTCTGGACAGAATATTCCGCTGCTGTTTCTTCTGTCAGTAGCAGCCCAAGTAATGCTGGGCTGTACTACAGGGCATCTTCACAGCAAGTATTGCTTGCTTTATTTTATGGTTGACTTAATAGCCTCTGCCTGCTGTCTTTGTGCCCAGTAGCTGCTGACTTTCTTCCACACCAGGAACCAAATAGGAAAAAAAAATGAAGTTCAGTGTCTGCAGGACTTTCATGCTTATTAAAATCCATACATATTTTTATTGGATCAGAATACTACTTATTTGCATTTATTTCCCATGGAATTTCAATAAAGCACAGAAAAATGGCACCCTCTTTTGGCTGTGCTAAGGAAAATGAGGCCTAAGGAGACTGAATAGGAGTTCGTAGATCTGGGAACTACACAGAATAAACAATATTGGAAAAAATTCGGGTCAACAGAGAAACTATCATGGAGATACAAAGGTGCAAAACTAAGCCAGACTGTTAATTGATTGACAATTTCTCATTTGTTTTGTAGTGAGAAACCCTGATGTACCAGACCAAGAATATTTTAAATGTGAATCTTGGTTCTCTACAAGCTGTTTTAATTAATTAAGGTAGGTTGCAGTAACAAATAGCTCCCGAATAAATAATGGCACAGAGAACAGCCCAGGGAAGTTGTGCTTGGCTGGGAGGTATTTGTAGCTGTATTCCGGCATACAGTTATTCTGGAATCTCAACTTGATTTCTCTTATTTGTAGCTCCTTCATCCCTTGGGGCTATAATCATTTATATCTATATAGAAGAGTTAAAACTGGGTGGAAGGAGCACAAACTTCTTAAGCACTTTGAGCTGAAAGTTGAATATATTCTGTGGCCAGAACTCAACCATGTGGCCCTGCACATCCCTGTGAGAAGCCTGGGGTATACAGTCTAGTTGTATGGCAGAGAAGGAAGGAAATGAGTCTGCGGTGGGCACACTATCCTGTTGTTTTAAATGTTGTAGTCATAATAGCTAATATTTATGATTGATCTGTAGATGCCAGGGGTTTTATATATATATTTCCACTTAATCCTTACAAAAACTCGGTGAGGACAGATATGTCATTCCCATTTTACAGATGTTGTAACTGTGGTTTGCAGAGGTTAAAAAAACTTGCATAAAGATGAACAACACATGGAAAAGTAGGATTCACACTTAAAAACTTTTTCTGGGGGCTCAGGATTCTTCTCCAAGCTAGAGATTCTGCATGGACAAGAAAGCAAGAGGCAATAGCTCACAAGTACCTTTGTATAGGACAGTCCATGCTTTTTATGGTGACCAACGCAAGATAAATTACTTTGGGCTGGTCAACCACGGGTGAAGCTTGGAAATCACATTGGGCGCCAAGCTGTTATAGGACAGCCCCGATATTGAATGGGTTGCCTGGCTGTGGGTCCTCACCCGCGCGCTTAAAAGGGACTTATTAATACTCCACTACAGGCACACACAAAAGGTTAATAAAAGGTTTATTTATAAGGGAAAAGGAAATAAGGAAAATGTACAACTCAGGGAGAAAATAGGGAAATAAAGTCTTTAATGCATCCTACCCGATTTGCCGACCTGGAAACCCAAAGTCACTCTCAGAGCTGGCTGGACGCTGCTAGCTGGTGGAGAGCCAAAATGGGGGACCCCCCAAAGCCCACGTGTCTGTCTTTATACGCACTTGGCTGCTTAACCCCACCCTCAGGTCCCAGCCACCTTCCCTTTGGTGGTGATGGGATTTGGAGTTCCCAGTGTCTTTGGCTTTGGCCTGGGGTGGGGGTGGAGTCCACAAAGCCTGTATGGAATTAGCTTTAGGATATCCTTTTCCCCTTAACACCTTCACTGATTTTGCAATGAACCAATATCTCTTCTTCCTTTCTCAAGTCTCCTTTCACAGATGCTGAAAAAGGAGAGGCTGGTAGAAGAATTAGAGGAGGGAGATGATTAAATCACCTTAAATCTGTTTTAAAAATCTCCATTTTAAAAAGGTTTTTGTTTCTTATAGTGCCTGATTCTGTGAGAGACACTAGCCTCTTTTCAGAGCCAGCAGAGTAACAGAATGCAACTTCTAACAGACTGTCTGGCTGCTAAGGTAGCAATTGTATTTAAATTTCAGTATCAGTTGTCACTAACTGGAACCACCTAAAGCAAAAGGAAGGAAGGGATATCAGGGCACATACTCACTTCTTCAACCGCCCTTAGGGGCTGGAAGTGGAAAGTTTTATGTGACAGAGTTTATTTTTGCAACTTGAAATTTTCCTCTCCTTTGAAAATTAAGGCAGCCTAACAGAGCCTTCTCTTTGGGCCAATACAACGGTAAATTTATGAAGTGAAAAAGAGGAGGTTTTCAAAGTGTTATAAGCTCACCCACACTGAACATAAATTTACTACTTAGAATACTCCAGATTTAAATTTTATTATGGAGCAAGTACGCTATGAACAAATTGACTTCAGATTTTAGAGTTCGGGAATTAAATAGCGGCTCATAGCATCTATATCATTTATTATTTCTATTATAGCAGTGTTGTCTTGAGAACAACAACAAAAAATCAGCTTCAAGTTTTGTGTTACCTCAATGCAGAAAGTTAACTGACATCCATTGTTTCTTAAGCCAACATTTTGAAACTGAGAACTTAAAAATGCTTTTAAACAAAGTCAGTATTTTAGATTAGTATTTCTAATATTTAATGATTCATATGTATCCATAAACTAGGAAATTCAATCAGTAAAGATGTCAAAATAGGACCAAAAGTGTTCTTTAAGGCGATTTTCTAAACTTCCCCACTGATCTGTTTATCCTGACCTGGCAAGGCTGCTGCATTTCAATTCAGAGCTTCTTTTGCATACAGAAGTACAGACTTGCTGAGCTGAGCCAAAACTGTCTATCCAATTACTGGGTAAGAGAGCTGACTGTAGCTTTAGGCAAAACCCATAATCTGTAAAACTCCATAGTATCAGTGACAGCCTAATGAAAGGGAAGGACCAATAGAGCGTATATGTTACTTGAATGATACACAGATGCATAGTTTTCTCTACAAATAACTTACTTCAGACATAACACCAAAGAGCAATGAATTATTCTGAGTCCTGAAAAAATATTTGATATATCCACAATAATTTTTAGATAGAATTGTTTACAAACAGAAGCAAAGTCTCAGCAGATGGCATTCAGTGAATACAAGTTTCAATGCTTTTATTACCTTTCATGAAATCTGATTTAGATATCATCCTCAGTATCTGTTACAGTGACTATAATGTTTGGCAAAATTACATTTTGCTGAAATTTATGTTATTTCTAAAGAGAATGAATTCAAGGGAATTGACTACATTTTATCACACAAAATTCAATAATAATTTCAATTTAAGAGAAAAGGTTACTCTCTATAAAAACATAATGGTGAGTGAAAGAAGCTAGCTATAGCTAGCTACCTAATATATACATGCTGTGTGATAGTATTTATATAAGGAGAAAGATAAATACTAGATGATCTCACTTATATGTGGAATATAGAGAAACCAAACAAAGGGTCAGACAAAGACAAACTTTAAAACCAACCCCCAAAAGGGCCTTCCCGGTGGTGCAGGGGGTTGAGCGCAGCACTGTGAAGCTGAACGCAGCCTCTGCTGCATGGGTTCAATTCCCGGCCTGCCAGGGAGATACCCACATGGTGTGGCAGACCTTTCCTGTCTCACCCACTGCTCCCCTTAGCAGTGCTGCTCCCCGCTCTGTCTCTGGTGAGTCCTCTCTCCCTCCCGTGCTTCTGGCCTGTTCCCTAGCTCTTGTATAAATAAATAAATCTTTAAAAAAAAAAATCCAAAAGCTGACCATAGATCTGAGACATCAAGGAGGGTTGGGAGTAGGAAATAATAGAGGCAAGAAGGGAGTGGCCAGAACATAATGGACTAATAGACTATGGTGGCGGATAAAGGGTGTTTTGGTGTTGGGAGAGCCAGGGTAACTACACTTGAAGGTAGAACTCCCATACTGTCAAAATATTATAAAGTTGTAAAACAATGGTACTTCATTAAAATTAATAAAAATAAAATAAAATACAAAGGTAGGTCAACATTTATGTAGTTTGAGGTCAGGAGAGGGAGTATCTTTGAAGAGAGAAGCCTTAGGTTGGTACGGAAGACTAATTGGTCTTTGGATATGCTGATAGAGTTCACTCTCTTTTTAAAAAGATTTATTATTTATGCATACGGAACTGGGGTACAGGCCAGAGGTGTGGGGAGTGAGAGGATTCACCAGAGACAAGTGGGGAAAGGGAAGAGGCAGATTGACTGAAATGCACTGCTGAGGAGAGCAGGGGGCTAGTCAGGAGAGGTCTGGCTGTGCCATGTGGGTAGTTCCCTGGCCAGGGATCGAACTCGTGCTGCAGTGGCTGTGGATAGCTTCATAGGTTGCCTCTTAACCCCTTGCACCACCAGGGAGACCCAGTGTTCTCTTTCTTAACCTGGGTTCTGGTTATACAACTGTGTTTATTGTCCATTTTGTGATAATTTATTGAGCATTAAACTTACCATCATTACACTTATGATATCTAAATAAATGCATTTATATATGTGTGTAATGACCCAAAGAAAAAGGTTAATAATTTTAATCTCCACAATGTTACATTAGCATTTTAAGAAAGAATATATTAATAAATATGAGCAGGAGAAGAGTGGCATTTTTGAACCTTCAATCTGTATACAAAATTCAGAGCTAGTCAAACAGCATCTTTTTAAAGAATTTGAGATTGCTTTCATTTTCAGTTTCTAAAAATAGTTCCATTTTTTAATGGAAAAAGAAAGTTCATCAATATTGGATTGCAATGAGAAAGTGAATTCTTTTTTCTCATGCATGGAAGTACAGGCAAGAATGAAATCAAGGCAGGGTATACTTACAAAGATATTTTAATTCCCGTTATCAGTATATCTTATAAGAAACTTAAAACCTCTGTAAGTAAGGTTTTGCTGGGCCCAGCATTTTTAGTGGTAATGAAGCTTGGTGATCATCATCACAATCATCTGGTAATCAATACTTGGGATACCTACTCCAGTAGAAATAAAACCCCTGGTAAATGTTTCCATTTATACTTTTTTTTTTTTTTTGGTATTGATGGGAGCAGATAATAGATAATTTAGTGAATGTATGTCTCTATATTCCACTAGCCTTACAATTTTTAATAGATAATGGTTTAGCCTAATTTCTTTCTTGTTGTAATTTCTTTTGAAATAAATAAAGCAAGAAATTCCACGTGAATTTAGCCTCATTCTGTAGTGGTAAGGCAGATTACTTCATAATTTTTTATTCATTCTATCATTGTTTATTTAGGGCTTTCTCTCTGTTAGGCTAAGGGGAGAGGGTGATGCAAGAAATATAAACTTTGTTTCTAGCTATGGTCTAAAGAAGTATTTAATTATTTGTCCCATAAACACTTTTAAAGAGGCTACTGGTTCAAAGCTCTGTCCTAGGATCTTGAGAGAGAGGTGGGAATATTATAAAAATCCCTGTCTGTGTGGGACTTACATTGTACTGGGGAAAGATAAAAATGAATATATTTGAAGAAGTTCTTTATATTTAATGTGTGTTTCTTTTACACAGCAT